ACAGACGCACACACATACATGTACACAGACGCACACACATACATGTACACAGACGCACACACATACATGTACACAGACGCACACACATACATGTACACAGACGCACACACATACATGTACACAGACGCACACACATACATGTACATACATGTACACAGACGCACACATACATGTACACAGACGCACACACATACATGTACACAGACGCACAGTACACAGACGCACACACCAACATGTACACAGACGCACACACATACATGTACACAGACGCACACACATACATGTACACAGACGCACACACACACACAGTACATGTACACAGACGCACACACATACATGTATACAGACGCACACACATACATGTACACAGACGCACACACATGCATGTACTCAGACGCACACACACACATGTACACAGACGCACACACAAACACACACATACACACACATACAAAAACACACACACACACACACATACATACATACATACATACATACATACATACATACATACATACATACATACATACATACATACATACATACATACATATATATATATATATATAATATATATATATATATATATATATATATATATATATATATATATATATATATATATATATACATATATATATATATATATATATATACATATTATATAATTATATACATATATATACATATATATACATATATATACATATATATACATATATATACACATATTTACACACACACACACACACACACACACACACACACACACACATATATATATATATATATATATATATATATATATATATATATATATATATATATATATATATAGTGTTTACTATGGGCATGTTATATGATAATGGTTGTCGCATTTGACGAGATTCTTAGAGAACTGAGGAAGGATTAGGAAAGATCTGATGAAGGTTAGGATTCTGTTTACTGTAGAATGATGAATGTAGCGAACGAGAGAGAGAGAGAGAGAGAGAGAGAGAGAGAGAGAGAGAGAGAGAGAGAGAGAGAGAGAGAGAGAGAGAGAGAGAGAGAGAGAGAGAGAGAGAGAGAGAGAGGAGAGAGGAGAGAGATAGGGAGGGAGGGAGAATTTCGTTGTAGAAAAGTATTTGATTTTTGGTTTATTTTCATTCCGTGTGCCTATTTTTTTTTTTTAGAAAAGTATTTGATTTTTGGTTTATTTTCATTCCGTGTGCCTATTTTTTTTTTTTTTTTAATCTGCCATTATCACTACATTCTGCTATATATATATATATTTTTTTTTTCTTTTCTTTTCAGGGAGGCCCGAAGACACTGAGCTCTTCTGAGGGAGTTGGTAACCTAATAAAAGGGATTATTAATAGCCATATCCGGTTAATTGATGAATCATAGATTGAATTATATAAATAAAGAGCATCATAATATCGTTATCGGTTAGATTAATAAATCATAGATTAAATAACATAAATAAAGATCATAATTGCAATATCCGTTAATTTGATAAATCAAAAATTTAATAATATGAATAAAAAAGGATCATAATTATAATATCCGTTGAATTAATAAATCAAAGATTGAATAATATAAATTTAAAAAGATCATACTTGCACTATCGCTTAAATTTATTAACAATAGTTTGAATGATATAAGAATGGAAAGCATTGTATACGAGTGGGCGATGGGGTTGACGCGTCGACACAAGGTGTTCAGTCACAGCCAACCCCTCAAAAAGGAACATTTTTTCAAGTAAGAAGTTATCTATTTATAATGACCTTATAATCAGAATTACATAAATTAAAATTAGAGGGTAATTAGAGAAAGATAACAGAGGGAGGGGGGAAAACAGAAGAACAGTGGAGGAATTTAAAATTGAAAGTAAATACGTGGGTTTTGGCTTTAGCTGTTTGCCAGATATGATTCTTGCACCGAGTATACAAATTTATCATGTTTAGATACGATGATGTGGTTCTGTCATTATTTCAATTAATTTTGGGAATGTAAGTTTAGATAAATTACATGTTTTTTTTCTTTTATATTACCTCAACGAGTTTATCTCTTGTCCTATTCCAATTAAACTCTTGCACTTCCATTTCACAGCTTGACGAGGGACAGTAACCTGCAGCCCAGCCTCGCCTTCCTCGTGCGTCACGTCCGCCCCCCGGGGGAACGCAGGCTCATAAAGCTCAATTTGAAGCATGCGAAGCTCAGGAAAGTGAGTACCAGGTCGAGGTCAAGGATCTTGTTCACTCGAATAATATTTGTACTGTAACCACGGGCGCAGACGCACATACGCACCCCCCCCCCCCTCATACATGTGTGTGAGTGAGTGAGAGAGTGAATGCACGCGTGTGTTCTTACGTAGTTGTTTTAATACGGGAGAAGAGCTAAGCTCACATGACCCTGTCTACTATATTTAAATCATCGTATAGTATTTTTTTCAACAATTCTGTTTGGGAAAGTGAACTTTTCGACATCTTTCTCGTCTCTTTTTACTTTCAACTTTCCACTGTCTTTCCCATATCTTCGTCCACATACACGAATGCCCTTTATATGTTGGCAATCAGCCCTAGCATTTTATGGACCTTTTCATTTATATGATCATTTGGGCTTAGGTTCCTTCTTATGATTATTCCAAGGTCTTTTCATTCTCTGTTGGGTTTAATACTGCATCTCTTAATTTGTATTGGTGTAGTGGACGATTTCTACTTTCTCCGAACCTGACCATAACATTTATTGGTGTTGAATTCCATTTTTCAAGTACGACTCCATGTGAATCAGTTCTCGATGTCATGTTAGAGGCATTAGGATGAGACGCCATTTATTACTATTTTCTCCGCGTTGTCTGCGAACATATAACTACCTGGGCTGAAGTCATTGATGAAAATAGTAAGCATAATCGGCATTAACGAAGATCCTTGTCGCCATGTCGAATGCTTCCCTCTAATTACTTTCCTTATTTGTCTTTCATGAAGAAAGTTTGTCATCCATTCGAGGAGTTTGCCTTTCACTCCACCTAGGTTTTCTAATTTCCCTGATAGTCTTCCTTGAGACACCTTATCGAATAACATTTTTAAAGTCTAAGTATACACAGTCAACCCAACCGTTTTTCATGTAATATTTCAGAAATTCTGTCATAAAAGATTTGCTACACATGATCTTCCTTCCCTAAAACCAAGTTGCTTATTTCCTATTATATCGTGTGTTTTGAAGTACTATAACCCAGTGTTTTCTAAGCAGCCTTTTTAACAGCTTGCTTACTACACCGGTTAATGAAGCTGATCTATAATGTATACCTTTCATACGCTGCCAGAGGTCTATGGCTTCTTAGCCTTCTCCAAAAGAGCTGCATGTTTTCTCCCATATGTCATTGAACCACTTTTGGCCATTACTTGTTTTGATATATTTTATTCTACTACTTTTTCATAGCCTTCGCAAAAAATTGAATGTTGTATATCAAGGTTAAATTCGTTCAGGAGTGCTTCCCGGTTTGTGCCATCAATTATTTTTTTAAGGCTTCACTAATTATCTCTCTTGCAGTTGTACTTCCCCTTTCTTTTCTTACTTAAGATGACTTTTTCCTGTAGAAGACAGTATTTTATTTTAATTACTGTGTGGCCATTTTTTTCCTGGAGGAAGGTAGCATTCCGTATCTTTATACTTTGTAAATATTACGTCAAGCATAGACGGTCTATCTGGCCATCTTTCCCCTAATATGATCTGGTCTATTTTGGGAAAGGGCTAAATTCATGATTTTTTTTATTGTGCATTCCACGAATTTGGCAGACCTGCGTGTGCCGGACTGCTAAGTTTCCAAACTACATTTGTAAGATAATTTCCTGCTTCGAACGCGCCTCTGACAGTTACATACGCTCCTCACATGTCGGATAACAATAAATTTTCATTATATCAGCCACTGTTATCGATTTCTTTTAGTCCTTGCTTTGTGTTGACATCTGCCTCCTGATTGAAAAAGGGGAAATAAGAGAACGGGAATCTGATTTAATGAAAACGGAAGTCGTAGTTGTTATAGTAGGTGTAACTATTCATTTTCCAGAAACATGATTTTCCTACAATTTTATTGCCCGTAGCTAGTCAGTCATAATTTACCATTTCCAGATGTTATTTGGCATCAATCTACAACATATATGAAATTAAACAGAAAACAAAATTTTCTGTTTTACAGTGTACATAATTTTACCTAATTCTGCACCTAACTACAGAAGTTGACTGGGGATGAAGGAGAGACGGCATCACCCACAGAGGAGAGACTGCGACTAAAGACCTCCATTGTAGACGCTGGGGTTGATATTTCAGCGGAAAGGATGGAGCTCCAGCAGCTCAGTGAGTGAATTACGATGCAATGGTAAAACTAGTTTTATGAAAGGGAGAATTATAGTTCAAGAGGGTGTGGGTATTGTGCATTGAGGACAGTTGAATGGGTTTTTGTTCCCCTGATTGAGAAGCTATAAGCAACAAAAGTATTAACAGATACATATTCTGCACACTGAAAGTTAATTTTCCGAGTGTGATAAATTGCATACAGTCCCCTTCACCTTAATATATCTGAAACTCTAATACTTACAATACTCCGTCTTGCTAAAATTGATCTTATTTGTTGACTCATCAGGTGACTTTAGATAAAAATTATATATGTTGTAAAGCTGACTAAGGGTTATTGTGTCAAAATGCGAGGAAGGTGTCACAGAGAACCAATGATTTTACAGTGATATTTGCAATCTTGTATTGGTTACATATCAAGGATTGTTAATTGTTCTTGAATGTGCCCTCTCTCACGATGGCAACAATCCTGTATATTTGAATCTCGTTACACTCGTTAGCAGTTTAAGGGAACGCTCGATCTAACCCTCTTCTTATTCACATTTATACATAATTCCATAAGATCAGAGGAATGAGGAGGTGCGCCACAGAGAGGTCGAAGTCCGACGCAGGACCGCTCTGCTGAAGGTGGCTCAGGAGGAGAGAGAGAAGGAGGTCGAGCACTGCAAACTGTGGCGGACGCAGCTCTCTCTTTTAGTGGAGGATTTGCCTTGTGCTGAAGAAGGCCGGTCCCTTGTAGATATTAACCTGCAGGTGAGGTCTGAGTGTGTGGGTCTGTAGTTATGTCAGCTTTTTGTATGTCAGAGAGAGATAAGAGAGATTTTTTCAGTCTTTACTTCTCTTATTTTAGCTTTCGTATTTTTGAGATGATTTGTTTTGCTATCTTTTGTAAACAGGCGTGACATTCCATCCTAAATTCTAGTATATTTTCTATTATATTTCCATTGATATATTCATGAAATGAAGACCAGACATGTAAATATCCTTACATAGTATTGTCCTCTTAAAAATCGCTAAATACCAGATAGTACCTCAGAAAATAGTACATAATATAAACATTATATTATATAATGAGAAAGTAATTCTTCCACCATACACTATACTGTGTCTTTCTGTGCAGAAACAACTGCAAGCAAATTTGTTGGAATTAGAAGAACTCCGTCGCGCAATCATCAGAGGGCACCTGAGCTCCCCGGATCGCATCCACGGACACAAGGTAAAGGCTTCAACAGCTTCTACATCCTTTTGTGATGCAATTCCATCAAAGGGATAATTTCAGAACGTTAAGAATGGTAGAAAAAACACAATGAACAAACTAGATTTATTGAAATGAAGTGACAGTGAGAATATAAATATGAACTGTCAAAGCCTTCTTATAAATGAACCAGTAGATACTGTATTTCAGATAGTGAAAAATAGTAGGAATGGAAATTCTGATATTGATTCAAATGACCCAATTTCTATATGGAAAATAGCCTCCCTTTTGTTCTTCTGTACATGAAGTTACATGTCTGGGAACACATCGGAGATACGATGGCAACTTGGGAACCCAGAATGCTGCTTGGGGCCGCCTTGAGTAATGTGCGGGAAGCTACGAGGAACCTGCACATCCAAGTCCAGAATATTGACTTGATGAAAGACGCACAGATGCTTAGGTACACTCTGTAAAGAAACAATAGAGAGAGAGTTGTAAGATTTGACATTTCTCTGTATTTTGATATAGGAGACAATAGGGAGAGTTGTATGATGTGAAATTTAGTTTTGTAACATTTTGGTACAGGAAACCTACAAGATTAGACATTCCATACTGTAATAAACCTCCAACAGATTGAAATGTGAGAAGGACGGCACCTTCATCGACGACATCAACCCTGGTGGTCTGATCGAGTCGGTGCGAGAACTCCTGGCTCATATGAGTGCGGCTCACGTCAGGCTGTATGTCGAAGCCCACCAGGCCCACCGAGCAGCGCTGTCCCTCTCTCGCGCTCTCAAGACCCTTCAGAGTGATATAGTCGCTGCTGCTGAGGTAGGGGAGTTTTGATTTTCTTCTTAGATTTTAAGCTCCCGTATAAGCTTAAAGAGTGAACAATTTACAGGCGGGTTCCATTGGTTTTCTTGTTCTCCATATGGATCGATGTATAATGGAGAGTTTGTTTTCGGGTTTATAAAAGACATTTTTTGAAAAGTATTCTTCCTCTTTATAAGAAAACCTACACAGAAGATGGCGTTGCAGCTGCTGTAATAAATGTTGCGAGCGAGAGCATCAGTGCATTTGGCGAGAGAGCCGCTGCCAGCTGTGCCGAGCAGTTGACGGTGTCTGTGCAGGAAAGAGCCAATGCTGCAGAGAAGGCGAGGGATGCTCTGAGGGCCAAACACGCTCAGATCATCAGCTTCAACAAGGAAGTCGTTAGTTTCATATTTTGTGCTTAGTGTTTGATTTTATGGGGTATGTTTGGAGTTTCTTGAAAATAATGGGTTTTATAGTTTGTTATTTTATCGATACTTCAGTGATTTTAGTTGATATTTTGTGATTTGTTTTATTGTCATATTTTGCTATTAGATTTAATTTTGATGAGGTGTTTCAAGCTCCATTAAGAGTGATTCAGCCTCATTAATTATTGGCACATTTGTTGAGCATGTACCAAAAAATAGAAGGAAACATATATTTGCACACTGTTTTTGAAAATCTTATCCATTTACAGTACATATTATTTGTATCATTATTACCACCACTTTTTAAATTTTTCTTCCACCACAGCAAGATGGAGTCGAGAGTATCCAGTGCCTAGCCATGTGTGTGGGTGATGGCCAGCAGATAATCAAGGAGAAACTGAGAGAAATACAAACTACAATTGATAAGGCTGTTGGAGCCATGGCACGCCCCACACCTGTCACCAGAAATTGCCTGGGAGAGGAGTGTGAGGCGTTCCTGGCGGTGCCACTGACACAGCTCCTCACTACCAAAATGGGAGGGTAAGAAGGTCGCTTCGTTTAGTCTTCGAATGAGTGTAGTTTTCCTCTTCTCTTTGTCTTGAGTGTGAATATGATTTATTTTTTTGTGTTCTTCAGAAACTGTTGTATAAGTTGTAAGGACGAGGAGGTAAGATTCATTCAGTCTTTGTTAATTTTAGAAGGTTGTTTCAGAAGTTTTTAATCAACATGCTTGTATACCAATGCTTGTATACCAATGCAGTTTTCTTTTCCTTGCGTCTGTACCATTTTTTTCATACAAGTTACATGTTTCATAAATTTACTCACATTCGTCATTCTTTCTAAAGTTTCTCTGAAGATGTTTTTTGTTTAGTTATTCCAGTCACTCCCCACCCCCTTCCATACTTCTGTTCATTCCGGTACTTTCCTTGTACTTCATGTTCATAAATTTCCTCATGCTTCTCCCCCCAGAAAAATGAAAAAAGAAATTGATATTTTTCATTCCTCCATTTTTTCCTCATTCTTCCCACTCTTCCCAAGGTCCGGATTGCAGAAGAAGGCGGACCTATCGACGACTCCCCTGGTGTGGCATGAGCAGTCCGTGAGCCAGCCAGGTTGGGAGGCCATGTGGTACCTCTGTAGTGCCTTGCTGTCATGGGAGGGAGTCTTCAACGAGGTCTGTGCCAAGCAGACTCAAACGGCATGCATTCACAAGCAGATGGATCACTTTGCTTTCACAAAGGCAGCGATGCACACCTCTCGGAAGGATAAAAGCACTCTGACAATGCAGATTATGAAAGGTACGTTCGTATTTATCATATCTTAGGAGAGAATTTTAGGTTTCTTTTATGAAGGACAATTTTATTTCCATTGGATATTGATGTATATTTGAAGGCATTCTCGAAGCCAAAATTACTTTTTAATTTAAAAAGTATTTGGTTATAGTGTAGGTTTGTACATGTATATACCATATGTAGAATTTGCCTTACTTTCGAACTATGCATAAGGACCTATATTAGATTTGGTCACATATGCATTGCAGAAATAACAGAGAGAGTCGAAGCAAGTGACAGCCATTTGGAGAGAGACATAACCGCTCGAGCGTCCAAGTGTGAGAACCAGGTTGCCCAGGGCGTGCAGCTCATCGCCAAGGTTAATCAGCAGCTCTCAGATTGGTAAGATGAGTATTATGGATGTCCCCTCGTTTATCTGTCTCTGTCTCTCTCTCTTTCTTTCTCTTTCTCTTCTCTCTCTCTCTCTCTCTCTCTCTCTCTCTCTCTCTCTCTCTCTCTCTCTCTCTCTCTCTCTCTCTCTCTCTCTCTCTCTCATTCTCTCTCTCTCTCTCTCTCTCTCTCTCTCTCTCTCTCTCTCTCTCCTCTCTCTCTCCTCTCTCTCTCTCTCTCTCTCTCTCTCTCTCTCTCTCTTCTCTCTCTTCTCTCTCTTTCTCTCTCTCTCTCTCTTCCTCTCTCTCTCTCTCTCTCTCTCTCTCTCTCCTCTCTCCTCTCTCTCTCTCTCTCTCTCTTCCTCTCTCTCTCTCTCTCTTCTCTCTCCTCTCTCTCTCTCTCTTCTCTCTCTCTCTCCTCTCTCTCTCTCTCTCTCTCTCTCTCTCTCTCTCTCTCTCTCTCTCCTCTCTCTCTCTCTCTCTCTCTCTCTCTCCTCTCTCTCTCTCTCTCTCTCTCTCTCTCTCTCTCTCTCTCTCTCTCTCTTCCCTCTCTCTTCTCTCTCTTCTCTCTTCTCTCTCCTCTCTCTCTCTTCTCTCTCTCTCTCTCTCCTCTCTCTTCCTCTCTCTCTCTCTCTCTCTCTTCTCCTCTCTCTCTTCCTCTCTCTCTTCTCTCTCTCTCTCTCTCTCTCTCTCTCTTCTCTCTCTCTCTCTCTCTCTCTCTCTCTCTCTCTCTCTTCTCTCTCTCTCTCTCTCTCTCTTCCTCTCTCTCTCTCTCTTCCTCTCTCTCTCTCTCTTCCTCTCTGTGTCTCTCTCTCTCTCTCTCTCTCTCTCTCTCTCTTCCTCTCCTCTCTCTCTCTCTCTCCTCTCTCTCTCCTCTCTCTTCCTCTCCCTACCTCTCTCTCCCTCTCACGCGCGCAAGCACCCACACGCACACATATTCTGCATCAGTGACATAAATTTGCTACGTGATACATAATATGATACGAAGTAATGTATATAATATTTTCTTCTTTCAGGTGGGAGCAGCCAGCTAAAAACATTACTATGTAAGAAAAGACATATATATGTTGATTTTTTCCCAGTACACATAAGACATTTTTGAGATTATTATTTTTTGTTGAAAGTATTAGTGGGTGTGGTATGCTTGAATTATTTTTAGTGCTGTTATATTTTTCTTGCATATATTCTCTTGGGCAAATGACAAGAAATAAATGGTTGATTTCAAAATACACACTGTTTTACCCCTGTATTTCATAAAAAGGTATATTTTCATATTTTAAATAGAAATATCATTATCATTATGTTTCGCAATTTGATTATTAAATTTGTTACACACTTAAGAAGAAAAAAATCAGTTATATGAATTTTATCGACCTTGTTTCTAAATGATATAATTTAAACTACAAATTACATTTACAGTTTATGTGCAGGGCTATGGAACGGAGCGGGTTGGCGTTTGCAGGAATAATAAAAAAGAAATAGTTATCTGAATTTCCATGTTAGGAGAATAACATCCGTAGAGCGAGTAACATTGGCCTGAAATAGACAAAAAGTATATTTGGTACTCTTACTATAAGAATAAATCGCGATAAAATAGAAAAATATGTTATATTGATATTTTATTTAGCTTCCCTTAAAATCTAAAGAAAATTATACTTTTAAAGAAAATGAGCAAAGGAGGGACTATGATAAAACTATCTTTGTGATATTCGAGACCTTGCGATTAATAATTACGCTAATATAACCATTGCCTTCTCTTTTCTCTTCTTTTCCTTTATTCTTCTTCATGTCTTCCACCCCATCCTCCCTTTCCTTACACGTAAAAAAGTTTGAAATGATATTAAAAGAAAGAAAGAAAAGAAATCTGAAAATTAAACTTAAATTAACCAGCGCCAGCTCTCTCTCTCTCCCTTTCACATTCTCAGCCATTCTCATATTAAATTAGTTCAGGTACATATTTACAATTAATATTCATTATTCATATTACATACGCACTCATTTTCTTCCTCATCGCCACAATCTTCTTCCTACGCATACACTCTCTCATAATTCCAATCATTTCTCTTCCTTTTTCTAATTAGAATTGTGAATAGCTACATTTGATAGCTATTCGAGACACCAACTATTTATAAAAACACTAAGTGTACCGCAGTAATACTCAGAAATAGAATTCATAACGTAATGAAAGAAAAAAAGGGTATACTAATTGTGTGTGTGTGTGTTTGTGTGTGTTTATGTGTGTGCGTGTATGTATGTATGCGCGTATGTATGTGTGTGTTAGCGTGAGTGTAGACAGCAAAAAAAAAAAAATGAATTATACGGTCAAGTATAGTATAATAAATCATTATTTCATTCATATTCCCAGTCGTCTACACATACGCTAACCCACAAAATAAATCTTTAAAAAACGGATATCATTCTTTCTGTTTCGACATATGCTCATCATGTTACCCATTCGTGGATTTTTATGCCTCCCTTTTTGTATATTCTTCTTCGTTTCCGCCAGTCTCTCCCTCCCTCCTTTCTTTGATAAATCTCTCGACTCGAGGTGAGGGTTCAGTTTGCAATCCCCCCCCAACCTTTCGTCTGCCCTCCTCCCCCCCACTTCTCCATAATCTTCTCTCATAAACCCCCTCTTGTTCCTCCTCCCCCACCTCCCCCTTTCTTTCTTCCCCCTACCCCCTTCTACCTCTTCGCTTTTCAAATTTTGATTCTCTTAGAAATTCTTTACCTCGATTTACCACTGTCTCCTATTCCCTCCTTCCCCTAACCCTACCCAACATCTCCTTACCTATCTCTCCCCCTTCCCCTTCCCACTTACCCGCCATCCTCCCTCCCCCTAACTCCACCAACCTGTACATACACCTCCCCCTCTCTCTTTCTTCCCCTCCCCTCTCCTTTTCCCCTTCCTACCCACATCCTCTTTCCCTCTCCCCTCCTCTCCCTGCTTACCTAGCCATCCCGGCCCCCTCTCCTCTCTGTCTCCTACCTACCCCTCTATTCTCCTTAATCCTCCTCTCTCCCCCTCCTCTAAATACTCCACCATCCCCTCTTCCCTTTCCCCTACCTCCATCTCCTCTCCCCCTCCTTTACCTGCCATCCATTCCCTCCTCTCCCTTCCCTCCCCTTACCTACCATCCCTTCCTTCCCCTCCCTCTCCTTTCCCTTCCCACCCCTCCCTCCCTCTCTCTCCTCTCCTTCCCCACTCCTCCCTCCCTCTCCTCCCTCCCCTCCCTCCCATCCCTTCCCTCTCCCTCCCTTCCTCTACCATCTCTTCCCTCCCCTCCCTCTTCTCCTTCCCACCCTTACCTACCATCCATCCCTTCCCTCTCCTCTCCTTCTCCCCCCTCCCCCTCCCCTCGCAGCATCCCCGATAAGTCGTTAACCCGCTCTTAACTGCCTTTATGGAGGGGAAAATTTTTATCACGCGGTAAATTAAACTGGCGCTCAGGACAACTTCGCGATGACTGAGGGACCTGCGGTGGGATGACTCCGGTCCCCTCGTCCCCCCTTCGTTTTCCCCTCTGCCCTTCCCCCCCTCTTCCTACTTTCTTTCCTTTCCCAACTCTTCCCTTCCCCTTCCCCTTTCCTTATTTGTTCACGTTCGGTTCCCCTCTCCTTTTTTGCTTATCTTCTTTCCCTTTCCTGCCTTACTTGTTTCTTCCCTCTCCCATCTCCTTCTTCTATTTTCTTATCTTCTTTCCCTTTCCTGCCTTACTTGTTTCTTCCCTCTCCCATCTCCCTCCTTTCTTCATTTCTCCATTTCATCTTCTCCCTTTCCCCTATCACCTCCCTCCATTTCTCTCTACCCCTCCAATTCCTTTTCTCCCACTCTACCTCCCCCCCCTCTTTCCTCTTCCCCCTCCCCTTTCACCCCCTACCTCCCCCCGTCTTCCCCTCTCATCATATCATTTGTGAATTCCAGCGACTTGAGAACCACATGAATATTGATCTTAAGACGAATCTGTCTGGCAAAGAAGTTGTACGTGTCCTCTCTCTCTCTCTTTGTCTGTCTGTTTATCTCTCTCTCTCTCACTTGCGCAATATATCTAGAGTCTATCTGTCTATCTTATCTCTATGTGATGCATATATACACATACGTATACAATATACATACAAGGTATAGTATATATACATGTATGTATGTATGTATGTATGTATGTATGTTATTAGCAGTGGCATGAAAGTGTAATAATATTTACGAGAGCAATATTGAAGATGGCCATAATACCAATAAGGCATTATGGCCATAATCATAGAAATGATAACAGTCCTGATAAAGATCCTGATGATAATGATGAACGGTAGAAGGCTGATGATGAAACGTTAATACTGATAATACTAACAACAATGGTGATGACAAATGATATCATTAGCCTCAATTCTTTGTATAGAAGTAATGATAAGAATGACAATGGTAGTAATACTGCTGATATTGTTGATAGCAGTTAGTGCTGGTAAAACTGCGGTGAATGTAAACTGATTTCGTAAAAGTGATAATTTATCAAGATAATGATAGTGGGAGAAAAGATAATGATTTACTAATATTAAAAATAACGATAACGATAATAATGGTTCTATGAATGATGATAGAAATATGAATAATGGTAGAAATATAACAATGATAATCGCATTGCTAATACTACTAATTCTAATGAAATTTAAGCTTACATTCTTTATTAGAAACAGCACCGTATTACTATTCATCCCCACACTCATCTCACTTTTCATAACAACCACCATACTTTCTCCTCATACACCACCAGTATATCTCACCTTCCTCCCTAAATATACCACCATACCCATTTTCCTCCCCAAATATACCACCATACCCATACCTCATTCCTCCCCAAAACACCACCAGCTAAATACACCACCATACACCTCCCCACGTTCCTCCCCAAATACACCACCATACTCACCTTCCTCCCCACCATACCCACCTTCCTCCCCATACCACCATACCCACCTCCTCCCCAATACACCACCATACCTCAAATACACCATCTTACCTCACTTCCTCCCCAAATATACCACCATACCCACCTTCCTCCCCAAATACACCACCATACCTCACCTTCCTCCAAATACACCACCGTAAATACACCACCATACACCTTACCTCCCAAATACACCACCTACCACCTTCCTCCCCAAATACACCACCATACCCACCTTCCTCCCCAAATACACCACCATACCCACCTTCCTCCCCAAACACCACCATACCACCACCCCTCCCCTTCCTCCCCAAATACACCATCTTACCTCACCTTCCTCCCCAAATATACCACCATACCCACCTTCCTCCCCAAATACACCACCATACCTCACCTTCCTCCCCAAAATACACCACCATACCTCACCTTCCTCCCAATACACCACCATACCTCACCTTCCTCCCAAATACACCATCTTACCTCATCCCCTTCCACCACCATACCTCACCTTCCTCCCTAAATACACCACCATACCTCCCCTTCCTCCCCAAATACACCACCGTACCTCCCCTTCCTCCCCAAATACACCACCATACCCACCTTTCCTCCCCAAATACACCACCATACCACCTTTCCTCCCAAATACACCACCATACCCACCTTCCTCCCCAAATACACCACCACCTTTCCTCCCCAAATACCCACCATACTAAATACACTACCTCACCTTCCCCCCAAATATACCACCATACCCACCTTCCTCCCCAAATACACCACCATACCTCACCTTCCTCCCCAAATACACCACCATACCTCACCTTCCTCCCCAACTACACCACCATACCTCACCTTCCTCCCCAAATACACCATCTTACCTCATCTCCCTCCCCAAATATACCACCATACGCACCTTCCTCCCCAAATACACCACCATACCTCCCCTTCCTCCCCAAATACACCATCATACCTCACCTTCCTCCCCAATACACCACCATACCCACCTTTCCTCCCCACAATACCCACCTTCCTCCCCAAATACACCACCATACCTCCCCTTCCTCCTCAACTACAATAATTTCCTTTGTCGTCATCTTCGTCATTACGCTAAGCCACCATGTACAAGCCACACCGTGATAAAGATCAACACAATAATTCATACGGCGTCGGCAGTCTAATGCCCTCATTTCCAGTGGATAATTCTTTTGCTGATGCGTCTTATCGTCACTTTAGAAAAATTATTATCACGAGGGGGAAAGGGACATAAAAAGAGAGTGAGGGAGGGATAGAGGGTCGGGGAGGGAGACAGGCAGAGAGAGGTGGAAGGGACATAAAAAGAGAGTGAGGGAGGGATAGAGGACCGGGGAGGGAGAGAGAGGTGGAAGGGACATAAAAAGAGAGTGAGGGAGAGAGGCAGAGAGAGAGAAGTGGAAGGGACATTACAGCGAGGGAGAGAGGGAGGGAGGAATAGAGGGTCGGAAGGAGAGAAAGGAGAAAGAGAGAAGTGAAAGGGACATAAAAGCGAGGAGAAGAGTGAGGGAGGGATAGAGGGTCGGGGAGGGAGAGAGGGAGAGAGAGATGGGGGGAAGGAGAGAGTGAGGGAGGGATAGAGAGATGTGGAGGGAGAGAGGGATAGAG